CATGATGCTGTGTAACAGTATGTCTTGAATACCCCTGACAGAAGTATAGAATACTCACTTAATTCTTTAGATTTGTGTAATGGTGCAGTCAGAAAAAATGTTTCACACATCATTTCATTTGATGGCTATAGTGAGACAAACTGAGGAAGCAGCCTGTGCCTGACACTGATGGAGAAATGTGGAAATCAGGTGCTACACCACCATCCAGTATCTATGACCAAGAATTAATATTAAATGTATCTCCTCAGCTCACCTGATTCCATAATATAAAATCACAGGATGAATATGGTGAGTTCTGTGCTAAGCTGTAGACATATCGTTTTCAAATCACTTAAAGGCCATAATTTTGGCTTTTCCAGATATAATCTGGATTAGCTATGTAAACTTCTTTCCAGATTAATAGCTAATATGCCAAAGTTTCATCAAAAAGTTTCTTTTTAGGAGAACAGAAATTTTATCAAAATCAAATCAGGAACAGGCAGACTCATTTGAGAGAAAAGATAAAAAAAAGTGTTAAAAGTAATTTTTAAAGTTCACACATCTGAAAGATGCAAAAGCAATTTGAAAAATGAAAACTCATATTGGTTCAAAATGAGACAGAATTAAAAAAAAAAGATGTTCTTTTAATGAACATTGCAGAATTAGAAAATACTATCTCCTCACTCTCACTTAAGAGTTGTGTTTACTCAGCCTATTGAGAAGCTAGACTGAACACGCATTGAGAACTATGCTATCAGAGCTCTGCTGTATTAGGCTTATAGCAGGAATATAATCTCAAAACTAATGAACCACTCACAAAGGAAAAAAGTTCCATATTAAGACTGGTTATTAAAGAGACTAACCAAGAATTTCATTTACTATTAACCCCACTTTCACATACATGGTAGAATGTTGGTAGGTTCTTAAGCTAGGTGATTGACACATGGGGAGGGTTCCTTAATGCTCTTCTGACTACCTTAAAAATATATGAAAATTTAGCCAGGCACTGGTGGCTCATGCCTATAATCCTAGCTACTCAGGAGGCAGAGATCAGATGGAAGCCAACCTAGGCAAGTAGTTCATGAGACCCTATCTTGAAAAAAACCCTTCACAAAAATAGGGCTGGTGGAGTGGCTCAAGGTGAAGGCCCTGAGTTCAACCCCCAGTACTGTAAAAAAAGAGAAGAAAATTTCCATGATTTTTGTTCAGAAAACTTAGTTAAAAAGAAGCATGGACAAAATAATTCAGGGAAGTTTGGAGTGGCTGCATACAGTGTAACAAACTTACATTGTGCTTACTAAATGTGGACACAAATCTTCACAGGATGCGCTTGCTCCTTATCCAGACTTCCAGCTGTGACTGATGCTCGAGGAGCCTTTTCTCCTGACATCAGACCTTCACACAACGTCTTCAGATCCTTTATAGAGTTTTATGAACCCTCAGCCACTGTTTCTGGTCATCAATGATCATGAATTGAAGTGTTACTTCCATGAGTGGAAAAGTGCTGGTGGAGTGGCTCGAATGGTAACAGTGCCTGCCTAGCAAGCGTGAGGCCCTGAGTTCAAGCCCCAGTACCACCAAAAAAGGAAACCATGTATAAAACCTCCACGAGTGGGCTAGGTGCTTCTAGAGAGAAAAGTTCAGTTTTGGCAGGTAAGAAAACTGGCTGTGGTATTTATCACTGATTAGCTAGAGAATCTGCAGATCACTTGGCTCAAAGATTATGCTCTTCTCAGACAGAAGAATTTCTGACTGAGAGGCACCAAAGGTTATTTCATCTAATTTAAATTCTTAAATATCTTACAGGTTACAGTATCAACTTTTAAAAATGAAAGATAAATTCCTCATGGATTTTCTATGAAACTCATTTCTTATATCATCCATGAACAAGGTACAAAATACAGTTAAGTATTTCAAGAAGCAGGGGAGGAGAAAACAGTCATAGTGGGGTACATCCTCAATGTGTATCCAGTTTCCAGTACAGCTGACTACGAATGTGCAAATTCACCAAGACAAGACAACCCAACTGTGTATGAGGTAGGAAGATTGTGGACTAGGCCAGCCCAGGCAAAAACCTACCCTTTGCATCTGTACCCAGTTACTCTAGCTGTTATCTTAAGCTTCTCATTGATAGATCCAGTGTAGTCATATAATTCATTGCCCAAACTTGTGAGAGAGTGGGGAGGAGGGGAGAGAGAGAAAGAAAAAAAAAAAAAAGAAAGAAACAAAAGAATACAGAAAGGAAGTAGAGATCTTAGCAACTCTTTGTTGTTCCCTCTGTTTGCGTGGTTGGTTTTTACAGTAATAGGAATTGAACCCAGGGCTTCTTGCTTGCCAGGCAAATACTCCACCTCTTGAGCTTTTCCCCCCCAACCCACTCCCTTTCTGTTTAGAATAGTGACTTTTCTAACCGTGCTTCTCAGGACCTTGGGATTTCCAATGAGGGGGTGTGGAAGTTTGGAAGTAAGCAGATGGGACTACTGTCGCTCATGTTTGAAAATTTTGAATGTTTGAAGAGTCTGTGAAACTCAGCAGCTACGTGTTTATATAAACAAATACAAGCACTATTAGTGCATTTCTCTTCAGCATCAGACAACTGCATGTCCCCTTTCTGTGATTTCTGTAATCGTCAAATTCTGTGATTATGAAATTCACTATTATTAATTAGAGTGCATCATTTTTAACATGGTGATTCTTTTATAAGATAAATTTCATTTTAAGACAAACACACATTAAGATCAGACAGAGGAATTTAAACTTCAACAAAGCTAGCAGAAAATTAAAAATAACCCACAACTCAGCTAAATCTGTAAGTTGGCAGTAGTTAAGAACTAGATGCTGTCTTAAATGGGAAGGATTTGGCTACTTGTGCAAACCTAAGATACTGGGTGTTAAAATAGTTTTTCTCTTGCTTCAGGTGAAGCTCCTGTCTCTGGTCTGGTCTGACTGGAACCTGTAATTGGGGTTGTTATCGTGTATGTTAGTATCTAGAAAAATGACTCAATCAGCTTGCTTTTTCAATATTTTCCATCTGTCCCAATCACTGAGTTTTAGATAGGGGCAGTACCCATTTTAGAGAAGATGAACACTTATAAAGCTAGGGAAATGTTCTGTGTTTTGCCTTTATTATTCTGAGCCTAAATGCCTACTCTCAGATAATTCTGGGCCACTTTGCTGATTCTTTTCCCATACCTCTTTACTCCTATGCAATGCAAGTTTTGTTTCTCTTCACTTAGTCATTCCATTATTAGGTTGAGAGAACTGGGGTTTTGATTCCGATGTTCTGTCTACAATCGTTCCTAGTGAAATCTGCAGCTATCTGGTAAACATTAAACTAATTTTTTTGTTCTTGTTCTCAAGTAACTGAAATGCCTGAGATTTCAGTAGAGGGACAAAAGATAAAGACTTGAGTTGGGGGTGAGAAGAGGGAATAGTTCATTCAAAGCCAAAATAAATTACTCTTGTGTATTTCTTGGTAATGTTCTTTCTGACTTAACAGGAAGGAAGGAAAGAAAACATGAGCTAATTTCATTGTCACACTTGGTCTGACCTTTGGAGAACGCCTAGTGTGTTACTCCACTGGTGCTGTTTGTTTACTCCAGCAAGGCTCTCCTGTTGGTCTCCCTGGTAGACACTGGCTGGCATGGCGGAGGCAGAACCTCAGTTTGTGCTATCTCAGGAGAAAGGACAACCTTAGCAGCATGCTGGGACTGTGTTTCTGTAGGTAACATTCTTAACAGTTTGTTACTATTCTCTTTGAGATTTTTGCCTGTTAAGACTGACATTTCTGAAAAAAAGCACTGTTGATCAAACAAGCTAGAGGTAAACAGAGCCCTTGCCCTCTGCTCAGTCCTGGCTCTGGAATTCCCCATCGGTCATGTTCATGGCCTTCCTTGCCCAGAGACTATTAGGTTAGTCAAGATGACCTGACTTTCTCACAAAATAGATTACAGGCCTTTGTTACCATGCCCGGCTCACAGAGAGAGAAAGAGAGAGAGAGAGAGAGAGGAGAGAGAGAGAGAAAGGGAGAGAGAGGGAGAGAGAAGAGGGAGACAGAGGGAGAGAGAGAAAAGAGCTGGAATTATAGGCGTGAGCCACCAGGCTGGCTAAACGGCTTTTTATCTACTATTAAAAACAATCTTTAGGTTGGGCACCAGTGGCCCACACCTATAATCCTAGCTACTCAGGAGGCAGAGATCAGGAGGTTTATATTTTGAAGCCAGTCCAGGCAAATAGGTTGTGAGACCCTATCTTGAAAAAAACCCATCACAAAAAAGGGCTGGCTGGTGGAGTGGCTCAACATGTAGGCCCTGAGTTCAAACCCCAGTACTGCAAAAAAAAAAAAGTATGGTCTCAAAAATTTCCAACATCCCTAAACTGTTAATCAGCAGTAATCTTTGGGAGATCAGATTGTTAGAGATTTTCATTTTCTTTTTTTTGTTATCCAAATTTTTAATTTTTAAATAACTCATATATTACCTATGTTATTTTGTTTAGCCTAGTTATTACAATTTACTTATGACTTCTGCCAGAGTTTTGATTTGAATATAAAATGTTCTAAATGGTAACAGAAGTATTCTTTTACTCTTTAGGCTTCACAACTTCTAAGGACTCCTATGATGCCTAAAGACAGTGTCATTTTTGCTATTTCTATTCTCCCACTGTGGAAGGCTTCTTTCTAGAGCACTGGATGTAAATTCACCGAATGCTACACAGCTAGCATCCTGGCAAAGGGCACTCAAGGTTCTCATCAGCCAAGAGATTCTGTTACAAAATCTAGCAGAGACAGCCTGGTTTGTAATGAATGACAGCACACATTGGTCTTGGAGTCAACCTGGGGATTGAGGCACACCATGTTGGTTATAGGAACTCTGGGAAAAACTGGATCCTCCAATTTTTTCTGTACAATAGCTTACTTAGCCAATGGGACCAAGTCATGAAAAGTCCTCTACACAAGAGCAGTTTTCCACCCAGAGATGCAGAGAGTGGAGCAGACCCCAATTACCTGGAATTAAGCTCACCTTTGTGGCCATGGTCTTCACCCCATGAATTCTCAACTCTCCATTTCACAAATGCACCATCCTGATCATCCTACAAGAAAGTGGATGACAATGTACAGTGTGAAGTTTATTCCTTCAGTGTCATATAATTTTAGCTCTTTGACAGTCACTCAAAATAAGCAACCTGCTCTCTATAGCAGAGATGTAAATGAGCAAGGACATGTATTTCCTACTATCACTACAAGAATACTTCAATAGAAGTGGAGTTTGAATCTTTTGCAGTAAAAATACAAGAAAGTGAACAAAGCGATACATATTATCTTCTCCTTTACATTCTATTCTATAAAGAAAATACACATGTAAAAGTGCTACCTGCACAATGCTAAGGGAAACAAAATACTAAAAGCAGTATACATCATTTGAAGCAGAGACTCTTGCTTTTAATCCATCAGATTCTTTGAAAAGGCTTTCCCACTGCACTTATTTTAGGAATGATTCCAAGACCTGATCAGAGTTTTTAAAAAACCAAAATGAAAATATTCTCATCAAAATGCCTGATTTTTTATTTAGGGAAACTAAGTAATAATACTCTCCAAATGTGTCCTTTGACTGATTCAGTTACACAAATATTGAATTTAATGCAACTGAGATTGAACATCAAACAAACAAAAAAACAAAAAGACCATTTTCACAAACAAAGCCCAAACAGTTCTGTTGTTCTCCCTCCTCTATCTTCATTAATAAAATAAGTTTAACTTTCATCTTCTTAAAGGGACAGTGATATTCACCATGATAGTGACAGAGAGAGGGACAAAAGGAAGACTCCATTTGGGCAAAGACTTTTCTCTCTTGTGTTTACTCACAATGTTTGCTGATGTCATAACAATTTAAATCTTCATAGCATGAGAAGAGTGCTGACCCTTATATTACCTCCTAATGATTTCATCTGTCGCCTCCCACTTGTGTATCACTGCATGAAGAGTCTCATCCACACGGAATCTGGCTCCCTGTGGCTTTGCTGACCTGAACACTACTCTTAGCAGTGTTCTTAGATGTTAGTAATTTCACCAACAAACAAGGTTTTAAGCACTCTTACCTGTATTAGCAACATTAAACTACATGCTCTGAAGCTGGCGTATTAAATAAATGTCTGTTTTGGCTTTCTATTCTACCCGTTGTAATCCATCTTCACTTTCCTTTTAAATATCATTGTTATAATCTATTCCTAAAGTAATTTACATGCTATTCAAAGTCTGAAAATGTTTATATTCCTTTTCCTTTGGTCAGTGAATTCCTGCATGACCTAGATCAAGTTGTTCTTTGGTCATTTACAAATATAGAATAATAACACCTGGACTTCCTTCACAAGGATTCCATGAAATTAGCCACAAGAAAGAACATTGCACAAATTTATCTATTAGTATGCACTTATCTCTATTATTATTAAAATGTAGTTCAAACTAGTTTTAGCGGTCAAAAACTTGGGGGGAAGAGAACAATTTTAATATAAAATTTCAATTATAAATAAAAATTCTGCCTCATAGGATTGGGTAACTTCACTTCCTTGGTGAAATAAACCAGGGCAATCAAGGAGTGGAAGTTAAAGAAAATGACATGGAGTATTAATGATTTTTATGTCTGAAAAATATACTCTGCAATGGGCTGGAGGCATGGTTCAAGAGATAGAGCACCCGTCTAGCAGGTATGAAGCCCTGAGTTCAAACTCCAGTATCACTAAAAAAACTCCACATTCAGAAGATGATTTAACAGAGATGGAAAATAATTAAAAAGCTGAACTTCCCTTGGAAATGATAGTACGTTTTTTGCCTTTTTAAAAATCAGCCCTCTATATAGTTTAAAATTTTAACTTTAAGGAACTTTTGGTTTAGCTACAAATCCACTGAATTTTATAATTCAGCAGCTGAAAATAAAAATGCAAACAAGTTACTGAGTAATTTCTTCATGAAAATTCTTAATATCTGCTTCTAATGTCAAAAGGCACACTTACGTAAAATAACTTACCGATTTAATGTTTTGTTTATAATTCAAAAGTGAGAATTTTTAAAAACTGGGGTGATAAAGTTTTTAAATTATTTTCTGCTCTTCTGAAATGGCTTCTCTCAATCCACAAAGATAACAGCAATTGTACTCCACACATTTTTCAGTATCTTGACATGGGAGTCTCACTAACCATAGAGCTGAGAAAAACAGAATGAAGAAAACAGTTCCCTGACTTCTAAGACCTCACCCTCTGCATTCATTCAGAAAAAGTGCATGAGATTCAGAAATATTAGCACAGGATTGCCTAATTTCTTCAGAGTACTTTGTACACCATATTGCGTTTGAGTTCACGTAAACCTAAGACTACCTCAGAGTTCTACGACTGAACGCCCTAGTCCTATAATTTGTATTAATGTAATTAAGCTTTTCTTAAGGTTCAGTTTTGTTTGTTGGCTCTGCTTGAGGCAGGTCTCACTATGAAGCCCAGGCTGACCTCAAACTTTTGATCTTCCTGCCTCATCCTCCCCATGGCTGGGATTATAAGCTTATAGGTAGGAGCACCACGCCTACCTGGCTAAGATCTGGTTTTGAATGGGAAAGAGCACAAGGATGTGGACACAGTGGGATATACGGGCACTTCAAGTGAGGCAGTTGGAAGAATTGGGAAGCAGGTATGGAGAGAAAGCCCCATACTCACAATTTTGCCTAGAAAGTATATGAAATGAATCAGGACCTCTAGGTAGTCTAGTTAGAAAAATCTGGCATAAGGTACACTAAGATATTTCTAAACACAATCATAACTCTAGTGAAGATGATAACAAAACCAAGTTTCTATCAAACTATTTTCAAAAACAATTTATATGAGGCAGTTAGTTTGTGACTTTCTTTCCAGTTAATTATGCTAGAAAAGGAACATTTTTGCTTGTGAGGGTAGAAAATTCAAATAGTTCAAAGTCTCTTCTTCCTTATGATTCCTGAACACAGACAGCAAAACAGCCATTGTACAGAATGGAAGTGGGGAGCTTACTTGTGAAAGATAAAATTTCAGTTGTTTCTGACACTTGGTTCTAGAAATAGTGGTATCACTATTCAGAGTATTTCACAGCAAGTTCAAAGTACTTTACGTCCAATTTCCTATAGCTCTGCATAAATCCAGTAATGGGCATGGAGGCCACAAATTACTATTATCATTATTAATTTATTTTTGGCAATACTGGGGTTTGAACTCAGGGCCTTACACTTGCTATGCAGATGTTCTACCACTTGAGTCACTCTACCAGCTCCACAAATTACTATATTTACTATAGAAGAATCTGAATGACAAATGAAGGGAAGGTAGTCCATCAATGTAGGAATGCTTTCATGAACATTTTAATTACTTATAAAACAGAAGCTATCTTCTTTTAAGTTCCTTTGCTGATCTCTCCTCGTACCAAGACCTTCCAAAGTTACAGAAAAGCAGTTACTTCTTTACTTCCTACTGACCCAAATTCTGCTCATGGGAAGTTCCTATTTTTTATTACCTCTGAGCATACAGCCAAACCCCAAGTGACACAGATACACTGTCTTACTTGGAAGCTAATTTTTTGTTTTTTTCAGTACTGGTCTTTTAACTCAGGACCTCACATGTGCTAGGCAGGTGCTCTCCCACTTGAGTCACTCTGCCAGTCCTTTTTTGTGTTGGGTATTTTTGAGGAAAAAACAGCTGTGAACTATTTGACCAGGACTGGATTTGAACTATGGTTCTACGATCAGTAGGATCCTCCTAAGTAGCTAGGATTATGGGTGTGAGCCTCTGGTACCTGGCTGGAAGCTAACTTTTAACAGAAATCATATACACCATGAATGTAGTACTGCTGGACAAACAGTCTGCAGAAAAACATGGATCCATCCATGCAAACACTTCAAGGGGTATGTTGAGGGGCCTACCTTTTCTGAGACAGCAGTGAAGGTCATGGCGTGGGTCATAAGTGACTCACCGAAAGCCAGCCTCTCAGCTTTATTCATGTTCTTCAAGGAGACACCAAACACTAACTCATGGTCATATCTGTAAAAAGAATGGTAGCACAAAATAAAGTGAGTACAGCCACAGCTTGTCTATAAAAGAGCTCAGAAGAAACTGAAGAGGCTCAGTAGCTCCAAAGAAATATGAGCTCTATCTTCTGAGAGAAAATGGTACATGCAGAATTCTGTCTCTAAATGGGGTTCTTTTATGTGTCACAGAATATGCAGGAAAATATGAGATGACTAAACATAAATTCCCCATATCAAACACTGACAGGATCAATTTGCACTGTCATTTTGGCAAGAAAACCTTAAAAAGGATGAAAAAGCTTTTGAAGTAACTTCTTAGAAAAACAGTCTCTTTTAGGATGGTAGAACTTCCCAGTTTCTGAATTTACTTAAACCATTGCTGATTGAGAAATTTAAATAAATAATGCCTACCATATCGGAGACTATTTAAAAAAAAAAACAAACTTCACTAATTTTCTTTCAGATTTCTTTTCAATTGTTAACTATCAATGTGTTTACTCAAAGCTGAGTATGGCTGAGCACATCTGTAATCCCGGCATTTGGAAGCAGAGGCAGAAGGATTGAGAGCTCAAGACAAGCCTGGTTTACCTAGTGAGACCGTGTTTCAAAATAACAAAAACAAAACAAAAAGGTATTTACTCAACTTTTCATAGTAACAATTACTTATAAGTAACTCTAAAATGGTGTATTTTAACTGTCATGAATTCTTGTATGATTTAGTTTGCAAATAAACCTTTAATGTCATAAAGGACAAGGAGGAATGCTTTAAGATATGCAAATTAGTCCTACTTGTTAAAAGGCAAAATACACAAGGTCTCAAAGTAAGAGAAGCAGTTTAAAAAGGATTAAATAGCAAACAAGAGCTCTAGAAAACCCTCTGTTACATTCCCAAGAGCACAGAACAGATTTACACAGTAATCAGTTGCTTAAAGTGTCTTTCTCATACAGGATGGCTTTTCAGGAAGATCAATGATTTCTGCTAAATATCATTTTCTGGGTTAGGGCAGTTAAGCATGTGCAATTTCTGCTATGAGATTCTCTGATGCAGAGAAAGAGATCCACCCCTAGGTTCAACCTTAATTTTTGAATATACCTCAGCAGTCATTTTGTACCAAGAGTGTACTCCAACAGCAATAACCCATAAACGACTTTCTATTTAAATTTCATGCACTCACACATTCATGTCACTGAGGCCCAGCTTGCCATTGAAGTGTTTTCCAACATCACAGCCAAACCACACAGCCTACAATTAGAGGAAAGAGGAAGAAAGTCAGCATAAACCCTATCTTTGTATTACACCAAAGAAGTAAAAGAAGCTATTTTAACCCTACTGGGGGAGACATAGAAACAACACCAACCTCTCCATCTTTGATGGAGGCAGCAACCATCTTTTTCAAGAAGTCAACAGGCTGGTTGTTATACAGAGTTTTTCTCCCTCCAACCATGTTGCTCAGGTAGTCTACCGTGTAAAGTTTATTGTACTTGTGCTGGGGCCGTGGATCATTCACAAAACAAATCTATTGAGACGAAAAACATAATGATTAGAGAACAAAATCAGTAATATCAAGCAAGACACATATTTCTCTAGGTTCCTATGTTTGCATCAAGCTCATCACCGCTATCTACAAAAATAAACACTACAGCCACAATGTAAAATAACAAAGAAATAAGAAACAAATGGCAAAACACATGTGAGGGAGGTCCTTGCAAATTCAATTAGTGTGAGGGACACATTTGGGAGCTGTATCTGTGTTCCCTAGTGGCAATAACTGCCTCAAAACTAATTGTGAAAAATTGCATGTGCTGAGTAAGGCAACATGGACAACCTATCACTAAAGGTCCTGCTCTCAGTTACAAGACAGGCTCAATACCCAGCAATGCAATTTGCTTGGAAGAGGATCAAGAAGCCAATAAAGGAAGGAGATTGTGGTCATCTTGATGGGCAGATGGAGAAGACCTGAAAGGAACAGGAAAGACTAGGATAGGACAATGCTTCCTTCAACAAGAAAGTTTCCAGTGGGGCCCACAGAATGGAGGTGTTCTGAATTCATGCTAAGAAATATCCCACACACTTTCATTATCTTTGCACCTGAGAAGGGTTCTGGCCCAAATCAGGGGAACATGTGGGAATTAAACTGACTAATGGCCTATAGCTAGAAGAGTCTCCGAACAGGAACACTGGGGAAAAGTAACAGATCCCGCAATGACTAACTTTAGTAGGTGCATTAAGTACTTCAGCGTTTGTTTAGCATTTATCTTGATGATCATGCACGGTAAGCCAAGGATCTTATACCATTCCTTGTGGTTAACAGGAATTTGAAAGTAAACAGCCTGTGGCTGCCAGTGCCAGTTTCCAACCTTATCTTCCATATTGAAGAGTGGCTTGACATGTTCCCTGTAAAACTCCAAGGGTGTTATGGGGCCAATCTTGTGATAATTCTTATCTTTGTCTCGATATTCCCAGGTGAATGTCTCTGGTGGATTACCCAAACAGATGCACACCACTCGGAATATCTGAAAGAGAAGGAGGCCAGATGAGCCAGAACCAGGGTGAAATGTTATTTTTTACTCCTTCATTTTCCTCAAGCTTAGGAAAACAAGTTGATATCCAGGATTCATTATCAGTCAACTTGCGAATTCTCAAATAAACATGCTGAACATTGCAACTTTGAAATGTTAATATGTAGTGTTTAGTAAATATGCAAATTAAACTCCCTTAGCTAAGAAACTTGCCCACCTTTGAAACCCAACAAGATCTAGGTTGCTGCTCTCCTGACAGTTTTTCAAGTAACAAATAATGACATATTGTATAAATGAATCTCCTCACTGAATTCAATCTCTCATTGAAGTTTTTCTTCGATTGTGACAGGAGTTTCTACTCAAAGAATAGTCATTAACTTTTCAGCTAGAGCTTGGATGATGAGGCCTTTTGAAAGTATTATTTGAAAAGGAGTAACTTTAGTAGTATAGTGTCATTTGTTTTTAGGTTGTGAGACAGTAACATATTTTCTTTTATTTTTGGCAGTGCTGAGCACTGAACCAAGGGCCTCATGCATGTTAGACAAGAGCTCTACCACTGAGCTGAACCCCAGGCCCCCAAATTACGTATTTTCTAATGATGTCAAAACACCTTTAATTTATATCAACACAAGGATATGTTCATATCACTTTCATTTCATAGAACAGCAAAAACAGAAATACCTTCTATAAGGTTAGAATATATAAAGTGCTTCCTTTTCTATCTCAAACTGTTTTTTTTTTAAATATTGACACAATAATTTGCCTCGTCTTCCCTCTAACCCAGTCACTGCCCTGATCAAATCTCATCACTCATTGACCACTATTTGTACCATATTTATGTATACTCTATTATAAACAAGAGAAATGACTCTTATAGTTATTAAATGTGCCTACTTTGTGCTAAATAATGTATCTCTGCTGGGGTCACTTAATTTTATCATAACACCCCCCAGACAGAATCTCTTCTCACCACCACCACACACAATTTTTTTTTTCCTCATAAGAGATCGTGACTCAAAGTAACCTACTTAAGGTTACACAGCTGGTAAGTGGAAGACCACAAACTGAACTGAGGTCACATGCTAACAAAAAAAAGTATTGCTCCTTGGCTACAGGCTTTAAAAAGGAAACACTATTGAATGCCTATTGTACTATATTACAATTTTAAAGTAATATACATACTATAAATATACACTCTCTATATAATATATATGGCATATATATACTATAGCATATATATATATATATATATATATATATATATGCTAAATATCTCTTAATCCTCTCAAAGGTGGTAGAGCTGGGTGCTGCTGGCTAACACCTGTAATCCTAGCTACTCAGGAGGCAGAGATCAGGAGGATCACAGTTCGAAGCCAGCCCAGGGAAATAGTTCATGAGACCCTATCTCAAAAAACCCCTTCACAAAATAGGGCTGGTGGAATGGCTCAAGGTGTAGGCACTGAGTTCAAGCCCCGTACCATAATAAATAAAGAAATAAATAAAATAATAAATAAATAAAAATAAGGTGGTAGATATTATCCCCGTTTTACAGATAAGGACCAAGGCTCCAGGAAATAAATAGCTTGCCTGAAGTCCTAAAGCCAATAAGTGTTAGATTAGGATTTGAACTAGGGTCTCACTTCAATGCTGTTTCTAAAATATTATGAATTTATCACTTACAGTAACTTTCTAGGTTTTACATAACTTGTCTTTTGTACAAGATGATAAACTTCTTGTTTTGTGGTACTGGGTTTTGAGTTGGGAACTATGAACATGCTAGCAAATGCTCTACCCCAGAGCTATACCCCAGCAAGATTATGAACTGTTTAAGAGTAAGGACCACATCATGGCTATTTTGTGTCCTTCACAGCAGCTAGCACAGGGCTCAGGACATGACCTGGATGTGCTGGTAAACCTGGTTCATTCTCCACATCACCACAGGCTGAATAATTTTAGAAGTATTACTTTATTCAGATTACTTCTATATTGAAGATCCAATAATGCTTCTACATTCCCTCCTATAATAAATCCAAACACCATTACGTAATTTCTTTTTCTTACCTTTTAACTTAAAGACATTATGTTCAGTAGGTATATAAAATATCCTACTCTTAAATATATAGCACAATTCATTTGTTTCTAACACAAATATACACCACGTATCCACCATTCAGATCAATATACAGAACACTGTTGCAGCAAATTATCCACAACTTCCTCTAGGTAACTACCTTTTTGACTTCTACAGTCACGCATCAGTTTTGCCTATTCTTTAACTTCACAAAAATGGAATCATAGAGCATATTCTCTGTTGTGTCTGGCTTCCTTTAGTTGACATGTCTGTGAGATTCACTTATGCTGCTGTCTTTATTGCTACAATTCTACTATCTTTATATAAGTAATTTAACTTACAAAAGAGGTTCTGCTTGTCTTCACTTTGTTTTGTTCTGTTTTGCAAGAAAGAAACCTCCTTTATCAATATTATCTGTGTTTTATAAGCCTAAACAGCTGTCCTTAAACCATCTCTTTTTTTAATGTTACATCATCCTCAGGTTGGTTTCTAGCACAGAAGAGAGGGAGGGCTGCATATAAGCAACTGTACTTGAGTTCCTCTAGACATGGATTAATGAGCTTTCCTTGGGATTTATATGGACTAGAGAGTCATTTTGTATTTGCTCTGCACTAAGGCTACAAATGGTGACTTTAGGAATCTGTCAACATGAGATAACTATGGTCAACACAGTAACAATGAAGGTATAGAGTCAGAATATGTTTAGAGTGGGAAGGCTTTATAGATTTAAATGATGTGTATGTTCAACTATTAACTACTGTCATGTGTGTATGTACATATCTCAGTGAAATCATTCTAATTAATTTTCAGTTATCTAAGGGTGGTGAATCCAGCTCAGCTAATCTCTGGCCAATAAAAAGGGGGACCTAAACATACTTTAAAGATAAATGTGAACGTTTTGCACTATAATTTGTATGTTAGTGTACATTTGACTTCTTTATCTGAGGTGAAAAGCATTAAGTTACTCCTTTCTTAGTCCAAAAAATGCATTAGAGTAGCTGGAGACACAGCTCAGTGGTAGAGCTTACCTATTATGTACAAGGCCATGGAGTTAGATCCCCAGCACTGTCAAACAAACAAACAAATATCAATAAACCTCAAAAAAGCATTAGAGGAAATCTGGAATTCTGCTTGCTACATGAATTCTATGGTGAATTCTTTCGTGAGACAATACTTATGTTTTGCATAAGCCTTAAAATTTGAATTTTTATCAAATATAAATGATAAGGATGACATTTCTTCCTTATAGAGTCTAGTACAGGTCTGTAACTTGAACCACATGACTTTGTTTTATGCTATTTGTTTACCAAAGTAATTCACATTTAAATCAGTTTGTAACACTTTGGAAGGAATATTTGGCTGTGGGTCAAATAACATTATTTAAATGAACTCTAATTAAAAAAAAAATTCCCCAAAGTATAATTTCCAAGATCCCTATTATATTTTCTTGGTAAGATACTCTTCTGTTGTGAGATAATATTTCCTATTTTTAAACGTAAAAAACTGGCAGCGAGCTTTGGTATATCCAAGTGTGCTCTCTGGTGGGCAAAGTAGGAGTATCACTTGCTTCTTACAAAATGCACCTGCAATTCAGGGCAACAAAAAGATACTGACCATTGACTATAAGTCACTATACCAACAAATAAAATGTTTGCATGGCCATATTCCTCAGAATATAATTACATAATATTAAAATCTACAATTAGCTCATTGGGGAAAATGTATTTGTGGCCTTAATTGAAACTGTGCACTCTCTATCCTAGTACCTCCTATCTTTCTTTAATTTTTTTCCATAGCATTTACTTTGTGGTTTATTATACTTCTTATATATTTTGTCTGTCTCTTCCTACTAGAAAGTAAACTACACAAAAGTAGGGATTCTTATCTGTTTTGTTCACTGCTGAAGAGAATGATGCCAGGACATCTGTTTATGAAACAGTATGGTGGGTGACATTAGCTAGCACTTAATTCTAATGGGAAAGCAACGGACTATAAGAGACTGAACTGTATTGCCTCTATTTCCAACAAATTCATGTTCAACTTGCACACACACACACACACACACATACACACACACACAAGCACACAAAAAGCCAGGAAAATTTTACTAAGTCTTTAAAAAAATAGAAAATTATAGCCAAAAAAAAAAAAAAAGGAACCTGAACTTTAGTAGCAGAGCTGAAACCACCTGCAGCAGTGGTGGCAGCAATGGAGATTTAACGTACTTGATTTTCGGTGGTTATTGGTTGTTCTTCAGGCTCATGCAGATAGAAGTGGCACATTTTTTGAAGGGACCAAAAGCTACCAGAAGTTTGGTTTTTCTAGCAGCAACCTGACGCAAATTAAGGATCTGGGAAATCTTTACATTATCCCAAGATTTAAGTGGGATGTACTTTTGAAGGATGTGTAATGTTCAATCATAAGTGTGACAAAAATTGACAACAAAGAGTATGTACTCAGTAAGAGTAACATGTTTGTCTCTAAGAGACATTTCATTTTGAAGACCCTCTTGCTAAAAGCATGGTTCCCCCCTTGAAGCTTGCTAGGGATTACAGAGGGTTGACTCAATTCAAAGCTTTTATTCTTGTAGGAATTTCATGAAGGCTTTTCACCAAGGCTTCTCACACTAGAGTTTCCAGTAAGAAATAGTTGTTGTTTTTTTTTCCCTTAATGGGACTAGGGCTTGAACTCAGGTCTTCATGCTTGCAAGGCATCTGCCCAACCACTTGAGCCACCCCTCCTGTCCATTTTTGGTTATTTTGAAGATGGGTCTCACAAGCTATCTGCCTGGGCTGGCCTTGAACCACAATTCTCCCAATCTCAGTCTCCCAGGTAGCTAGGATTTACAGGTATGAGCCACTGGCACCTGGATGAAATAGTTTCTTAATGCAATTTTCCCAAACAGAGCAGCACATTGAATAGG